CCCAGACTAACTTATAACGTATGGAATTTGTCGACATCTTTAAAGAAATGTCAGGCCAGTGAAATGGTTCTGTGCAATGACCAAAATGTTGATCGAGCTAAGCAATTTTTGCGGTGTACGGCTGAGAGCCAAGCGATTTGCCAAACCTGATCAAGGTCATGGGTAGCTGTTGTAGATTAGTCTCCAACGTACTATGAAGGGTCATATGTCAGTACTATAACTTCATTCCTCGTTAAAATTCCTCTAAAATGTACTGTTTTGGTAAGAATTTATTTATCCTAGCTAGTTACCAGGGCTGTAGATTCACTTGATTGTCACTGTAGGATAAGCCAGGTTATGTACTAAACCCAAGGTGCAACTTTAATGTAAGCCAGAAAAGCGCATTGCTCCCATTCAACTTGAGTAGGATTCAACATCCAACTTCAAGATTTACAGATAAATTATTTGGCTGTTTGTATTCAGTATTCATGTCTGTTATGAGTAAGACATAAAATACCAGACATCTCTGCGCCAAAACCTTTGAACGCTTTGTAAATGGGCGATAGCACATAGGCTCTATGGCGGCTACTGCGCTGAAATTTACGATAGTATTCAAGTTGTGTCTCACAAATACTGTTACGTTTTGTCCCAAGTCTCATAATAGCGATGACAGTAGGTTTCTTTCTCAAAGATTTGTGTGGTTTATAAGAAAATCTCTCTATGTGCACACTTATGTACATCAGTCTTCTTGATTGTGAACTAAAGCACACTTCCATAATTGAAAACACTTAGTGTTATAACGAGTAATTCTTGATACCTTTGTTTTTGATATCTATATTAAATTAATTACTACCTTTTAAACAGTATGTGCGTGACCTGTTCAGAAAGAATAGAATACATAATAGAAACTTGTCGTTGCTAAAATTGACTGCTCTCTTGTGTTTTTTTATCAACTTATCGACTTAACGCAATTAATATATAATTATTTATTGAGTGATTGGTTGTTGAACAACTGGGTGGCAATACTTCTTTATGTAAGAATATACATTTAAGTTCAGAACAATATATGGAACCATCCCATGCCCAACTATATTGTTTTAAGTTCCGACGGAGCAAGGACACTCTTGTAGCTGTTCTAGGGTTAGTACCTGTCACAAGTTTGGGTAAAGCTGGAGGATTAGGCATAATGTAAGCATTCCCATCCCATAGGAAACATCTCTGCGGAAAAATGCTAGCCATAATAAATAACTTAAACCATTGAAACTCTGTTCTTTGAGTCGAACAGTCGTCATATAGAAGACATATGACGCCTCATGGTGGAAGCCGAGATTCTTCGAAACTCACGAGGACGATGCCTCTTCTAACAACCATAGTAACAATCAACGTAGATACATGCAAGATTCGGATAATGAGGGAGATCAGGAGGACCAAGCGAATAGCTGCAGAAATGAGGAGACAACTTGACAGTTCTCGGAATCAACAAAACCCATTGGACCCAAGCTGGACAGAAACGTTTAGCTTCGGGATAGGTGCTGTTTTACTCAAATAATGGAGAAGAAAATGCTCCGCACACACATGGTGTTGCATTCACGCTGTCCAAGGAAATACGAAAACAAAGACAAAGAAAGTCAATGAACAAGCTGAATACACCGAAACAAACAAGCAAGTGAAAAAGAGCACTAGAGCCAACAAGCAGAAATAAGTGGGACAGTTAGCAAAGACAGAGAATAAAGCTGAGGAAGAAGGAAATACGAAATAACTATGTGACAACGAAAAAACTAGCAGGGGAATATAGTAAACCAGAGAGACTGGTCAGGGAAAAAGAAGGCAAGACTCACTGAGATTCAGAAACAGAAGAACAGATGGATAGAATAGTTCGAAGAACTCTTTGAATTGATCAGAATCATTTAATTCACCAGATATCGGAGCACCACACACAGACCTTTCTACAGCTGTCACTCCATCAGTGATCAAAGAAATCAGGACAGTAATCAGACAAATCAGTAACGGGAAAGCAGCAGGACCTGATAATAAACCAGCGGAAGCACTCAAATCAGACATAGAAGTAACTGCAAACATGCCCCACGTTCTATTCAGGAAGAACAAGTGCCGATGGAATGAAAAGGTTACCTCATCAAGATAACAAAAAAGAGATCTGAGCCAATATGAAGACTACAGAGGTATCACACTGTTGTCATTACCAGGAAAGGTTTTCAGTAGTCTTGCTGAACCGGATGAATGACTCAGCAAACTCCCAACTTCTAAATCAGCAATCCGGAATCCGTAAGGATCGGTTGTGCATAGAACAAATCGCCACACTACGGATCATAGTTGAACAGTCAACTGAGTGGAACTCGTCACTATAAATCTACTTCTTTGATAAAGAGAAAGAATTTGACAGCATAGATAGGAAGACTTTTTGGGACGCTCTTCGACACTATGGTGTGCCTAAGAAGATTATCAATATCATGTGAAATTTATGTGACTTACTAGAGTGCAAAGTCACGCGTGGAGGACTGATGAGAGATGCATCCCAAGTGAGTACCGGTGTCAGACAAGGCTGCTTGCTTTCCCTCTTCCTCTTTCTTCCGGTGGTTGACTAGATTATGAAGACCTCCACATTTCAGGTGGAGCACGGAATACAATGGACAGCTTCCATCCAACTAGACGATTTAGCTCTTCTATCCCAAACACACCCACAAATGAAGATAACTAGTGTAGCAGAAGCCTCTGCATCTGTACGCCGTAACATACACAAGGGAAAAAGCAAGATCCTCAAATACAACACGGCAAACAGCAACCAAATCACGATTGATGGATGGGTTCCAGATGATATGGGGACGTCCACGCGCCTGGATAGCATTATCGATAAAGGAGGAGGATCTGATGCAGACGTAAAGGCAAGGAATGTAAGAGTGAGTAAAGAATCCCTACAGTTGGAGAGTATATAGAACTCAAAACAACTGTCAATCAACAGCGAATTCAGAATGTTCAATACGAATATCAAGACAATTCTGATGAAACATTACGGAAATCACCAAACTGCATCACAAAGCAAGCGCTTAGCAGGAATGATGAAGGAAAACTGAAAAGAGGAATGCCGAAGAACACGCTGCGTCAAGAATTGGAAGCAGATATAAAAAGAATGAATAGCAACTTGAAACATCTGGAGGGGATTACCCTACAGAATTCGATTAAGAGTGTTAGTGAGAGGCCTATGCTCCTCTACGAATGGTAACAGGTGTAAGGCCACACGTGTCCAAAGTAACTGCAATATTTACTCATCATTCCAAACTGCTTTAATTCATAAACCTCACTGACATACCTATGTTTTACTGGTGATTATCGACATACCAGGAATCAATTCGTCTGAGCCATTTCAAACCTCTGTATTATCACTATTAGTACATCTTGTCCTTCAAATCTAACATTACCTGAAAATTAGAATGATGACGATGCAATCAGTCTCTGATCTGCCGATTTCTGTTGGCCACATATTTGTAATCTTAAAGTAATCTAGCCAAATGCTTCAAGTTTAGTTTCGACAAACCTGTTTCAGTGATGTCTCCTGCCCTATGCAAACTTTGGATTGGTTTATTGGGCTATGGAGAGTAATGTTATTAACCATATGAAGTTAAACGTATGATGAATGAGCCCTTTGATTCTTCTAGGTTAGACGTACACATACTGCACACTTTTTCGATTGGTGGAACAAAATTACTCGAACCTGCTATTAACAGAACGTGGTGCATGATTACTGGCGATACTGCACATCAATTCTTCGGGGAGTGGGATTGATTTTTATTCAATAGTGTATATTCATGACCTACAATGCAACAAACTGTGATCACTATTTGTCAGAGAGAGTAATAGTTTTTCGTGCCTTAAGGTAACCCTCGTGCTACTGATAGAAGAAACCAGACAAGTAGTGAATAGGTCCTTATTTCGATCTTCGCGCAGTCACAGTGGGGCGTGGGATTGTTTGTTCAGACAAACAAAGCCTCTCAACATTCAATATAAGATAATAGGAAATATAACGCCTATGCAAAATAAAGAAGTGAATGAATACTTGACCTGTACTGTTTTCGCATATGCTTGGTTGTTTGAGGTCAACTCTTAACCAACCAACCTATGCTGTTACAAGTTCAGTATTAGTATAGAATCGGCCCAGGCAGTGAAGTATCTCTGAGCCCTAGCCAATAACCAATCAAGTCAAACAGTTTCCGCGTTAAGAGTCTGATCATTATACAGTGAATCTTTAAGCGAACTTCATTATGATCAGTTATAACCAACGTGAACTGATCAATTAAATGACATGGATCGATCCCTGAGGTTGTCTGTTCATACTCTTTATTTCTCTAATATATTATCCCTTACATACAATATTACTTTACTGAGCTTTTATTCGTTGTCAAATTGGGGCGTGGAAGTAGAATAACCTGAATACTACTTCAGGATACAGGAAGCAAGGAAATTATCGCTTGTGGCAACTTCGACATAAGACTACACAAGATGGGAAACACACCACTCCTGTTCAACTATAGTACATTAGAAGTCTATAACTACTTAGACTCCCCTTTCAATATTTCTGTCGAATTTTTATTCCAAAAAACAATGTTCCTTACGCATAACGAACCTTATACTCCCGTCCCGAATTATGTGCACGTTTTCTAAGGCTATCCCTATTTGTAAACAATATTCTCTCACATCTCAATTCAGTATATCTACCATGAGTAGCTTTTTAAGTAGATAAAGCACATAAGAGCGAAATGCCTTGTCATTTCTAGTGATTTTCGTGGGACTCTAATCGAAACAGCATCATTTTCCTCTTCTGACGTACAGTGATTGATCCAACAACCTTACCTCTTATTTAGTCTACTGTTTATCCGATACACCAGGACTTATAGGTGTTAAAGGAATGTTAATACATAAATATAATTCTTCATTAAAATGTCTACTCCCAAACAATATCCAATCATACAGTTTTAAAATGCATCGACCGGCGACCCTTGTGGTTTTGGCGGCTTTTCGAGGTAGTTGACTCATCCCTACGTCAAATTTCTGGTCGGTCTTTAGTAGTATGGTAGTTTACACATGGTTCAATGTAGAATTATATAGATTTGTGTTCATAGTCATCCGCTAGTTTTACGTAATATTCGAGTTAACTGCACCATATTCACCGTAGGTATTTAAACAGTAGTGTTCCGAGCTGCCAATTTCGGAGAAGCCGCTATAGTAAATTTTGGGGAAATGAGACCCAAAACCCCAGTGATATTCTTCCTCACTGAGTAAATTTTATTATTTTGATTGTCTGTTACGTATCAAGACCTTTGTTTTCACTTTAGTTGAATTTATTCCAGTTAGGTTATTCGCTAAGAGTATCATTTTTGTTTCTAAATAGTTTATCGTCGGTATTTTTGAGTATTTTGTTTCCATTGCATTTGTTAGCACTTTCGGTTCTAACAATTTACAGTTCTCCACACTTTTGGTCATCAGTTTCTTTTGTCCCTGGGTTCTATCGTATCTAGCTTTTCAGAAACTGATAACTAGACAGTTCAAGAAAAGCAATTGTCAACGCTCAAGCTGTCGACACCCCGTTGAAAGCGGCATTCCGTGTGACGAGTGTAAAGGATAGTACCACAAAGTTTGCACGAATCTAACGCCTGCAACTTTAGAACGGTTTAGTAAAAGTGGTTACGTGTAGTTTTGTCAGCATTGCTGCTCGAACACAAACAGCTTGCTAACCGAGGCCATTTCATTGGTAAATGCTGCTAAAAAGTGTACTAGCAAATGAGGTCGATGCATATCGGACAATACTCACTCTGTCGATACACAAATTGACGTGAATGAACCTCAAATAAGTTCAGTAACAGTTGACTTACATGGATCAAAGGAGGAAAGACAGAGTTCAAAGAGATCTGTCCGAAATAAGAACTCCAGAAAGGAAGTCTCTTCTGTTCCTTGTTCTCTAAATGGTATTCAGCAGGAAACGCCTAAAACCGCAGGGAAAAAACCCGGGTGCCCAAGCCATCGATAATCTTCCGGAATTCCACAGTGTTTGACGCGACTGTGGTTGCTGCTCTATCGAGAACAAGAAACGACGTAACGCTATTAATGAAAAGCCAATTCCCCAAAAGGTAGCCGGGAAATTAAAAATTCATCGTGTGATGTGTCAGTTATCTTTTATAGAACCAAGGAGAGTGAAAGCTCAGAACCTAAAACTTATTTTGAGCATTACATTGGGTTGGTAAAACAGCTACTAAATCAGCTGATGCATCACGATATCTCCACAGTCACCTTGCTAAAGATGCATAGACTAGGTAGTCAACTGAACTTGAAACAGAATCAAACCAGGCTGCTTAAAGTAGTATTTAAATCTCCCAATGAACGGGACTTAATACTACAAAATGGGCATAAACTAAAAAGGTCAAGGGCTTTCGTCCCTAGAAATTTGCCACTCGCAGACTGTGTAAAAAGACGAGAAGTCAAAAAAGGATTAAAACTTAGGTTAGATGCTGGCAAAAAGGACCTGGAGATCGTAAATTTTCGTGTTGTGAGGCCTCGACAGAGAATAATGCCTAAGCAACTATACGTGCAGCACGAAGCCATTTAAATAGACTTCGGATCTGTTACACAAATGCCCGAAGCTTGCTCAATAAGTGATCGGATCTAGGTTACAGATTGACTCTACCAAGCCATATGTAATCACAGTCACAGAAACTTGGCTGATATAGTCTATAGATAGTATGGAACTTAATTTCGAAGGTTTCACGTTAGTAAGAGCCGACAGAATCCAGAAGCGTAAAGGAGGAGTAGCTCTATTCATTGGGAATACTATCTCACTTACCATCATCGACAATGTATCCCTTGAGGGTGGAACGTATGAATTAGTTAGTTGCCGCCGGAAATGCAAGGGACATGAGTTACTGATTGGTTTGGTCTACCTCAGTAAGCTAGATGAGGTCTTTCTAGACCGTCTCAATACTTGGTCACAAAGTGGTTGATGTCTAGTCTAGGAGACTAATGCACCCACGTCATGTGGATTTGCCTATATCAAGCTTATTTAGTAAATCAAATACATCGAGTTCTTTCACTGTTACATTGTCCAATGTGTGTGGGATTTGTGTGAACTTACGGGAAGGGTGTCTCTACGGTATATACAATGCTAAAATAGTTTGGGAATACTTGAGCTTTACCATAGTCGTCCTCCGCTAACGATGAAATATTACTGTCTCCCCATAGTGCTGTAATATTTCCTCTTCTTTTGGTCAGTTGGCTTATATACGATTACAAGCGTTTAGGGCGTTCTATAGATTCCTTGACGCTCTTCGCACAACCTTGTAGACTTACGGAGGCACACGTACTTCAAGCTTCTCGATATTGCGATTTTGTTTCATCAATATCCAGTAGCCTAAATCTTTCCCATATTTTTCTCTTACGGAGAAGGGTGCGAACCTCCCTACTGAACCATAGTGGAGAATTTTTCGGACCGCTTGGTGTAGTTCAAGGGATGTGGGACGCAGTAACCTTTAAGTACAAATTTCAAAATACATCCCAAACTGTTTCAATTGGGGACTCGGGCTCTATTATACAATTTGCTGACGATGCTTTCTAGATGTTAGGTTTGGGTTGGGCTGACGCGTGCTCGTTTTTGGCAACTATATTGAAGTCAAAGATTAGAACTGCATGATCACTTTTACCTAGGGATGGCATGTAATTGAGGTTCATAACGTCATCCTCATAATGGGTCAATACAAGATCTAGTAAGGATGATTCACGGTCAGGATCTTACCTAGTCACTTCTTTCACATGTTGCACTGGGGCACGTGTGATAAGTAAAATAAATAGATAAGAATCACAGTATAAAGATTGATATATACTTTATTAGTTGTTCCTTCGTAGGACAGCAGTCTCCATGATCGGGTAATAGCAATCTATAAGTGTTTTTAGCTTTCAAAAATCATGTATCCACAAAGTAACAAAATGAACCGCTCTATATTAGCTCTAATGGTCACATGAACACGTCGTTTGTTCTGTGGGTGACGCAAAGGACAAATCAGCTTTGTGCGTTCGTTTTACATAATTCCTCTAGGACCTTTGAGAAAAAACAAAAGTCAGTCCTTTTAACTCCGTTTTCAAATCAGTCGTAAGGTTATGCTTGTCATTTTTGATTGTGTATGTGCACTCAAGTTGTTCACAAAATAACTTCACGTTACTTGAGTCAAGTTTATCGGTTAATTCTAGTCTAAAAAAGGTTAGTGATGAAAAATTGCTACCCCTAGGAATCTGTATGCGCATAGGGAAATCGTGTAAAAATTGAATAGCTAGTTAAGATCGACCAATTCCGCATGACGTACCCACTTTAGGTACTAGTTTCCTTTAAGCTGAAATTTAACGAAGTGATTTTTTAGTAATCTTCCTAATAAAACAAGACCACGAACCCCAAAAAATGTCGGGATCTGCTTCTCTCTTCAGATTGATTACGAGTTTCATGACACCACTCTTAGTTTGAGACCCAGCATAACACTTAGGTTAATAACAGATGGTGGTTATTCGAGTGACTTATCTACTCTGAGTCAATGTCAAATACTTTACCCAATCTTTGGTCTAGATATCTTGCTGGAAAAAAAATCTAGTCAACAATTCTCACTATTATTTCAAATCACTTAGAATAATGTTAATCGGAATTTCAAAAGTAGCACAAAATGCTCGTTGCTATTTTGCCCCTTAAAATGAAAATAGGTTTATAAGACTTTTAGATGTACTGGTACATGCAACCCCCTCCCCCCAAATTACAGTCAAAAACATCACACCTCAATTATTTGAAACACGCCCCCAAATGCCCTGGTACGGCCGAGAGTGGGGAGAGTCCGCTCTCCCTCTCGAAATGCTCTCACATGGCCACGCGTATATAGTCTCTGCCAGGAAAGTCCTACTCACTGCCTTCTCGTGGCGGGGGTGTTGTTTACGAAAATGAGAGGACGAAAAGCGAATGTCCGGCGCTTTAACCGGAATACAAACCAATGGTGCACATGGGCTCTAGTATCCTGAGGGAAAAAATGGCGTGTGAACCAATCGTTGGTCACCGGCTACCATGAGACTGCATCTCCTCACGATGCTCCACTGCCTTGTGGGTCAGACCTTTAAATCGAAGGCTCGGGGAGTGGTCCCCTAAGAAAACCACCTGCTTCAGTTTGGGCACCCGGGCAGTATCTCAGCCCACACACAAAAACATGATAAACTATCTACTTATGAAAAATATTCCTCTCGCTCCAATTAACCGTTTTTTCTGTGTGCATAATCAACTGTGTACGCCATAAATCAATAAAATGCAAATGATTTGAAAAATTGGAATCAATCAACGTGACGTATATAAAATCTCCCACTGTGTAATTTTTGGATTTTTGTTTGTTTTACATGTAATGATGTTAAAATTAACTTCTCTTGTTCACTTATTTTTGAATTTTATTTAGACATAAATAAATTCGTGTTGGTTGGTTGTTCGTAATGCACGAAAGTGAAGTACAGGCGGTGTCCGTTCCAATTGAGGTTGCTCAAGAATATGTATCAAAGCTACTTGGGTTTGCACCTCTTCAACTTTCAGATGATTGTAATCCATTTCTGTGATTATTCAACATTCTTTTTAGTGTACAATGTGATCATTACTCATTTGGAACAAATGATAGATGAATTCAGTGAGAAGTTATTGGATAAAGTTTGGTCTCTTCCCTGTTAATTTTATAATGGTCTTTTAGTTTGGATTAAAATTTACGTCAGAAAAACTTCAATCGCTCACTTATTATTTAAAAGAAAGACTTGAAGACCGTCTTGTAGACATGTTTGATTCTTTCGATGTAAATATACCGCAATGAATATAAATCAGATTATTTCAGATATTTTTAGTCGGCAAAGTACTGTATCTGAATTCTTCAGTAGTTCTCAAAGATGATGAACTCCAGTTAGTTTACTCTGAAAAACGTGACAAAGCTATTGAAAATCGTATTGTCACTTACACGAATAGAATTACAGTGGTGAGTAAAATGCCTCGTTATGATAAATATTCGTCACTTTAAGTTGTTTTTTGTCTAATTTGATGCTCACCATACGTTTTAAGTATAAATAACCATTTAGGTGAACTGTTGCGATTAAAAATTTGATTTAGTTACCAAATTATAAATTGCTGCATTATACTATTTTAGCAAATAACCAATTGATTTTACAACTTGTGAGTATCTGTTGTTATTTCGTGTTTCCTATTATCGGAATGGTCAGTCATGATCATTGTAGAACATGGTACATATGTACATTAGTTCAAGTTGCCGTGCTATATCGATAGATCCAAGAGTAGCATATTTTATTTATTTGAACACATAAATATTGGTACAAAGGAGCATCGAATACATATACGCCACACTAGTCACTTGATTTGTGTGTAGACTGTAATACTGCTGGGGTACCCAAACCGAAGTAGGTGGTTTTCTTAGAAGTCCACATCCAGAGCCTTTGACCTGCATGTCCAATCCACACGGCAGTGGAGCATCGTCAGAAGACTCAGTCTCATGCTGACCGGTGACCAATGATTGGTTCACACGCCATTTGTTCCCTCAGGATCCTGGAGCCCATGTGCACCATCGATTTGAGATCCGGTTAAAGCGCCGGACATTCGCTTTTCGTCCTCTCAATTTCGTAAACAACACCCCCGTCACGGGAAGGTGGTGAGTAGGACTTCTCTGGTAGTAGTTGTATGCACTTTAGATCATTTTGAGAGTGAGGGCTGACTCTCCCCACCCTCCGCCGTACCACGGCATTTGGGGGACATAAGAAACAATAGTATCAGTAGCAGTAGATATTTAGCACGGATAATGTAATTTGAAAGGAAAGAAGAAATCTACTCAATATGATAATTTACAAACTCAAGATCTAAGGGAAGACCAAGAGTGAGTGGATCTGTCCCACTTCAATCGATCACAAGCCATGTCACCCAACATCTCCAACCATTGGTTACGATAATCGTTTTGACCCTGATCCGGTAGTCTACACCTACCTACATGACTCAGTCAGACATTCAATGATTTCATGAGCTGATGCCATCTCTTGATTCGACCATCTCTATCTCTCTTCCACCTTACACCCAAAAACACCTGTGATGCTAGGTTTTGATTTGATATATGTCATAGATGTCCTAACCACTTCAACTGAAACATTACAAGTGAACTATCCATTGTTTCTAGTTTGTAAATGTAAGTCTGAGCAACAGTTCTGAACCACCGCCCCTCTCAAGTGATATTATTGGTGTTCTTATTGCTTAAAATATACCTCAATCCTAAAAACTTTGGGACCTATATTTAGGACTTCCTTTATCTATCTCACTAAATATATGATCCACTAATTTGTCTAATTTCCACAACTTACTAAAAATACGTTTTATATACTTGGTTGAATTACTCTTCAACAAGATGACATTGTAAAAAGGTGTTTTAGAGAACCCTTTCTAATAACTAATATAGTTTACCCAGATTAATTCAGTAGTATATATAACTTATAAGGATGTGCAAAACTTCAGTAGTGATTCGTAAACTGTGTTCTATTTTTTTGATTTCATAGAAGACAACAGACCACATATTTTCTTGGTCTTCGTGTGCGATATATAAATTATTTGTCTATGTATCATATATATTCTACCGAACTTTTTATCATGATTTCAGCTTAAAACATGTCTAACAAAAATTGAACAAGAAACAGCTAAGATCAACTCAATTGTAGACAATATAAAGAATATGAAGAAACACATCAATCAAACTCTGGAAAATGTTTATGGTGTCAAGTCAGGTGAGTCTTAGCTTCAATAGGATTCTTCTAAAATGAAGTATATTTGCTAGCCGCTTTCATGTTATGGCTATACTAAATGATTTATATTGATGAATTAATTATTGATAATCGGGATTTAAAAGATAAAACAATAGACTTTGGATCTTTTTGTATAGTTCTTTTCTTTCATAAAGGTGACATTATATTGACCGGTTTTAACGCAATTATCTTGCATTACATTTCTTCGTTTACAGTATTGACGTTGCTGCCTATTTTAAAAACCGCGAAATCGTAACAGTCAAGTATAGTTAAACAGTTCACTTAGGTCACTGTCATTTTTAAAACTAGATTAAATCCTTACATACTAACGTAGGTGTTTTTTGTTAAGTGCAATTGTTGAGAGATCTACTTTTTTTCATTTGTGTTTTTCAATATCTTCCCGTCCGTCACATCTGTACTTTCAATAAGCTTAAATTAATCACCTATGTATTAAAATCTAAGTTATCTTCTTTCTCTCTAGTAGACTTTTTACATCCTCCTGGAATGTGAAGGATTGTGACTGATGAGCATTGTTTGGTTGTTAAAATGATGCACAAAATTCTAATCGGTTAGTAAAGCCTAACTTTCTGATTTAGTCAACCAATAATTGCTCACAAAACTGAATCTACTGTTTTTTTACAATTATAATTGACAATAGAAAATAACGGATCAATCAACCGTACAACAGCAGTCGTTTTCTTTCTACAAAAGATTGAGGCACTTTCTCATACAAAAGTACATTTTAAACAAAATGAACATTATTAGAAATTACATACGGTACGATCTATCGGTATCCATTACTATCTGAAGGTCATTAAATGTTTTACAGACTTAGAACCTCGGATATATGTCACTTTTCTATCTGTTCGTGGCAAATGACTAGTCCAATTGTACAGTTTAAATGCTTCATTATTATTTGTCCCAATATGTTGTAATTCCATAACAATATTGTAAAATCTTATCAGAGCGTCTGACCACAAGATGAAGTTAAGAGAGAAAAATCCGTATCAAAAGTAAATTTTATATAAAAGGCGATATTACCATTACACAAATATACACAAAATGGTTACGAATCTCTATTTGTGAGGTGTTTGGGGTGTTTAGCGCATTTCTAGTGATTACCAATAATTAAAACAAAAACTGCTAACAACTGAGAACATGAAAACTGCTACATATAAAATGTTCGAAAGTTATCAGAATTGAAACTAGTTACTGAATATTAGTAAGTAGTATATAAATATACAAAAAAAGAATCGAATAAAGAATAAAAACAATTATACTGCTGATTTTGAACTTAGATTTATTCGTTTTCTTATTACTGATGAGTTATTGTGTTAGCGATGGTCCATACTGCCTATAAAATTTTATATTGTTATAGGAAGAAACATATGAGGCAATGTCATAAATTTTAATTATCCTAAATGAAACAATAATTTACTAATTTTCAGTGAACTAAAAATACATGATCAATCTAGACGTTTAAAAGTAGCTAACTAAAGGCGAAAAGTTAAGTGTTTATATGTAAACTATTTAGAATTCTATATGTATAAATTCACATTTCGTTCTAGGTAATTAACTGTTATTTTTATCGTTTAGTTTATATTTTCCGACCATACAGTGTGTTATATCACTAATTGCTTGTTAAAATCTATGAAATAAAGTATTAGCGATTTCTGAATTACGTCACCTAGTTTTCATTTGACACACAATTATCATTTTCAGAATGTGCATTTACTTAGAATTTAACATCATAAATAAAGTTGAGCATAAAAAAGTAAATGTTTTCATTAAACTGATCTATAGTTTACGTCCCATAAAATAAGTATACCATCATAAAAACAGGGGTTATTCAAATTAATGTCTTTATCAATGGATATACCTCTCTTTAAGATCTGTTTGTTGAAAATATCATATGTAGCAATTGTAAGTGATGTGTTAACCTGCCTACTTATCTCAACACGTTCCTCCTACCTTGAACGTATACTTCATTTTTTGTAAAATTGCCAGCTTGTTTTAAAACAAGACTTGCTGATTTTCCTCCTAAAAAAACACAGTATCTACAGTTTATTTTTTTTTAATGTGCTACATAAATTAGAACACAAAGACTTTTCAAGTCTACATAAAATATGATCAAATTGTATAATATACAACTAGGGAAATATTCCATCAGTAATAAGTAATATCTGGTGAATTTGATCAAATTCAGTATCCTCAGTTCTTTACTTCCAGACGTTTAATTTATCCGTATATGGAATTTGTAATCGGAGAAGTAATCAAAAATACAATAATCTAAATAAGTACAACAGCTTAACGATTATATTGACCAGTAGTAGTAGATAGGTGATTGGTTTAAACTCGGTTCCACTTAATTCATTTTGTAGTAGACGCGTAATTTAACTAAACGGGACACACGAATTTGTACTTGATAGTTAAGTTACATTATTATTATTATTATTATTATTATTATTATTATTATTATTATTATTATTATTATTATTATTATTATTATTATTATTGTATGAGTAAATACGTGTTTGCGTTTTCAACTACATTCGAACGTATAAATCCAATGGTTAGAGATTAAAGTTTACATGAATTACCAACTACATTCTTAACTCTTACCATCGTTAACTATTTAGAGATTTTTTTAATTTGACATTTGTTGTTGTTCATTTGTTTTACAATTATTGTGATTTAGTCGATGAATTATGTCTTTCAATATATGAACGGAACAATTCAATAAATCGATTATATACTGCTCTGACTAATACAAATGTATCCAATCCTAATTTTCTATCAATTTGTTCACCTTTAAAGAAGAGAAGAAAACATAACAGCAAATGATTTTTCTTTGAAAGAGATATGCATTTACTGTACCACATGATATATATACATCTTTCGTACAGTACTATGTAATCTTACAAATGTTATATATAAATCTCATGTATCTGTTTCTTGTATATTCATCGTTATTTATTTTAAAAACTAATATAATATATTCAAAGTTTCAGTTAGTACGATTTTAGTTTTACCTTATGTATACAGTTTCCTGATGAATGACTTTCCAACTTTACGTACGTGATAATGTCTTACTGTGCGCTGTTACACAAACTATGGGAATTACACTTAATCAGTTTGTAGTTAGTGTTCGTAAGTGAAGTATATAAATTGCTCCTAAATTCAAAGCACTTCTGTGAGACTGGCTGGAATCTGCTCCTAAACTCACTTTTTGTGTCCTGTTAAAATTAATTGAAAAGTTTATGTACTTAACTAGTTGTTTGTATTTGTGATGACGTAACAAGTGAAATCAATCTACGTATAATGAGAGCGGCTTATGCTGATCTGAGTCATCTTTGGCGCTATCGTGATTTTAGTTTGTTTGTAGAAGATCAGGTTTACAACGTACTGTTTGGGAGCAGCTTTGCTACATGTTTATGAGACGTGACCTCTCCGATTTGAGGATGCTTGGCGACTCTCCGTGTTTGACGATCGTCATATCCCAAGGATCGCTGACATTCGGTCTCAGCGGCATGTTAATTCCGAGATTCAGCAATGTGTGTCCGAGTGTAGTAACGATAATTGAATTGCTGTTACTATCGATTTCGGTGGCATTGACATGCTTAACGAATGTCATCCCAGCGACCTCTATGTCGTACACCATGTCTGGATGTTTGTAATGAATGAAGAAAAGTGGATAGAAGGCCGGTTCAGATGATGGCACTATGGTATGAAAAATATCTGTATAAAGCTAGTATATGTCCTTTCGGCATGACTCCACGTTTGGGGGTGATTGGGATTGTGCCACTCTGGCTTGAAGGATTGTCGAACATGACCCGGATTAGACATCAGCGGGATTCAGCTGCAGTTTTTTTCAGATTCATCATAAAGTAAGAGGAACTCATTAAGTTATAAGATGTCCTTTTTGGTTATCTCGTCATGCATCGTAGTCACTCTCCGTTATTTCTGCTGTTATTTGTTTAGTTGTATGGTGCTAACACGTTTGGTCTACAGTTGTACCAGAATGTATGTATATTAAATAAAATGAAAGTTTCCATCGATGGGATAATTTATTCTAACTACCGCTTAAATTATGAGTGTTACTACTTGTAAAACTGTTAATTGATCGTTTAAAGTCAGCTACAATGTCTAATGATACTTATGGTGCTTTTTCTTACTTTCTAGATCTATTGCTATCATTGATTTATCTTTAGCTCTTATCAATCTCTTCCTGTTAGATCCTCAGAGAGGTTGGAAAAATGCAACTCTCGACATTAGGTATCCTGTGTAAATTTTTGCGTTGTTTTTTTTACACTACAGCTATTTTTGGGTTTTGCAAAATTCAATACAAATCATCAAACGTCTATTTTTTTTCCACAAACACGGATACCTAACATTCATTCTATTTCGGTAACCCTAAATGCTTATTTTCCTCTTGATTTCCTGTGAAACTATATGGTTTAACATGTACTCCAAAGTTCGGTTATGAAGACGTACTGATTATTTTAATCTAATAATAGTACATTTTTAGAGCAAGCTTTAAATTTCTAAACCAACATACTGTTGCAGTCACCATATAACCAAACCCGTAATATCAGTACAATTGTGTGATTCAATGTACTCACAAAATAAAACTTTGATTCGCGACAGTAATGTTCTTATTGTATTCCGAAGTAGGTAATAAATAAGAGCTTTAAGGAGCGAAGTGATATGATACCCATGTTTGATATACACGAATAATAAAGGTGTTATAACAAAGGTCTTTGATTTAGACTAATATAAGTAATAATTTCGTTGTGATAGGCTGGGTGAAACTAGTCATATCAAATATCTATGTTCAAGATGAAATTATAAACAAGGCACATGATTAGATGAAGCTAATAATGCACTTTATTAATGTCTTAGCTAATATATCTCAAGGATAGTTATATATCTGAATCTGATGACGGCAGAACATAGCACGTTGTAAGTTTTAAAAAAATGAGAAGGAATTCATAAGTAATTATTAATAATTAACAGACAAAACTATATAGTCTTAATTTACATATGGAATTTTATGTCTATATTTTTGGAATTGGTGCTCTTACATATGATTCAATATAACCTGCTTGTACTCCACGTTGAACTTTTACATATCCATTATCACCCCATTCTTTACTCCATGAATTTGCACATAACCAATAAGGTGTTTTTCTTTCATAACCCCAACCAATTATTCGTAAATTTATCCAACCTAAATTACTTGATCTAGGTGTTGGTAAATAAACTCCTGATTTATAGATCAAAAAATCTGTTTTCACAAAAATACTTGCTATCACTGGACCATTCATCAAAATTTCTTTTTGAATATCCTCTTGATTATCATAAACATTGTAAATATTTTCACCTAACAAATATTATATGGTAATTATTAGTATTAGAATTCTAAAACAATTGGTTAACACTTGTAAAACGATAAGAATATTATATTATTATTAAATGATGATGGGTTTGAGCACCCGGGCAGTATCACAGCCCTCACACATATCAAATGGGGTTTGTGTGGTGCATGTGTATTTGGTGCCTCTTTGTACCAATATCTATGCGTTGAAATAAATAAATGTCGCCCCATGCGAATCGTTGAATATTTAATGCATTGAATGTATCAATTTCATGGTGATCAATAGTCGTTTCAAGTTGCGGATAGTCTTGTTATTTCATTATTGATTTTTCATGAGGAGAGATTTTAAAACAGTTTCACACTTCATCTCGACAAGAAATTGAAATTTGACTACAGTTAATAAACAATTAGTGAGGTTAATTTTATCTTAGCTAGTTAGTAGGCAGTGGTTCCTACACGACCCTCTTTTCTGGTGTTGATTAATTCATCATTTAACGCTTAGTATATTTATGTTTTAGTCATTTCGTTTATAGTTCGTAGTTTATTCTCGTCGATCTATTCGCTTATTATTATCGAGCTGACGGTTTACACCAGCGTTCCACGCCTAACCGTTGGAACTGATTGGTTGACGTTTAATGGGTATCATTTCAACTTCAGTTTCTGATATAACGCAACGATCATCCATTCTTGTTGAGTACAATTGTTTCATTCCCGACGTATCTGTATTCCACCACTTACGATTAATAGATCTTGATAATTGTCCTGTCTCGCTAAAAATGTTGGGTTATTGAAGTAATAACTAACTGTTTAATATGAAAGTACTTGATCATAAGTCTTAGTTAAGTAAGTGATAAAGATTAACTTTAATCAACATTTACATACAAATATTGTCATTTAGAAACTAGTAAATTTTTCGCTAAGCACTGGCGCTAAACATTCAATTAACAAAATACGAATTCAAAGTTAGCTTGGTAATCCTTACAATCAATCTCATGATTCCAACAACGTCGTCAAGGAATTTATAACAAATAGAAAAGTTCTACCATACATTGGGTAGAAAAATATCTATTATATGGATTGTTAACATCTGAAAACCATGTATAGAGAAGTAGTCAAACTTAAGTTAAATGAATTTAATGTGTCATTTCTTTAGATTAGGTTCAGTACAGGTCTATAGTAATTTGTATTTAAGAAGGATTAAGAATTTTAGCAAAAATAAAATAATACACAACTCTTCGATAATAAACCCTAATGAGAAAATCCAACCAGAAGAAAACTTAACACTGAACGTAGGACAACTGTATATATGATACGTGGTGTAACCTTAAGACACATGACCAAGTTAACAAACTGTAAGTGACAACAATCAGTTAATAAGTGGCATAGGTTGTGAAGGAAAATTATACTCGTAACTATTACTACAAAAAAAGAACTATCACCCTTCTTAACAAAGTAAACGTCAATACATAAGAATAAGATATTTGGTGGTATATATTTTGTAGTCACATTTACTTTGCATATAAGTTTTAGTCTTATTAATGAATATTTGAATGGATAATAATATACTATTGTCACCCGTCTATTCACTGGGATATAATTAAGTGACAATTGTAAGCTTTACTAATCAAAACCGTAGGTTTTAAAACAGTTCAGTTTAAATCTAGACTAAATGTTTTATTTATTTATTTTAACACAGATATTGGTACAATGAAGCACCAAATACATATGCGCCACATAAATCATTCGGTTTGTGTGAGGGCTGTGATACTGCTCAGGTGCCCAAACCGAAATGATACATAAAAGTCTGAAACCAAATTAAGAAGTGATCACTGGAAAATGTGAATTATTTATCCCTTTTTAAATGATGTATTCTTTAAAACTTGAAAAGTAACTGATAAACATTACTTGTTTAATATTCTTACCATAAAACTTATCGTCTTCGTATGTCTTATTATAACCATCTTGACATTCGCTTGTACACAGTGGGAACTCATAATTCACGTCTTTGCACTCAGGATATTTTGAAAAAGGATAAGGTTGGCAGCCACTTTGATCTTCATATGACCCACCGGTAACAATACCATTTACAATCCAGTACATTAAAACTTCTATTTCATTTCCATGAGAACACCCTGGGCTAAAACCACAGCTTATAACATCACGAGCACTTAGTTGTACAGAAACTTTACCATTTGAATAAATACAAATTCTATCACTAATTGAGTCTACCGTTGCGAATGCCTATAGTAAATTAGTAGAAGTTTAAAATTAAAAATTTAAGCAATAAATTACGGCGACATCTATAATATGTAAATGAGCTTAAGATTTAGCTTTTTTTATTATAAACACTACTCTTTTTCTGTGTATTACTTTATACTAGTTGCCAAAATTCAGTAACTAGTTTTAATTCTAATAACCTTTGAGAACATATGATCGTATAATAGTCCTGAGTATTTATATAAACTAGTAACAGTCACATATTCTCTAAACACTTACTGCAAGTACTTGCAGTTTTTTAAACCTAACAGCTTCCATGTGTGTGCCGTTTGTCTCCATTTGTCGATAGTCATTATTGATGTTAGACACAGCTACCAGATGTCATTTACTCTATCATAATTTGTAATTAATCCTAATGTTCTCTTCCATATATACAGACAAATTAACTGAAACAGAATACTTGAAAGTAGATATTTGGACGTAATTCACATATATTTTTCAATGTTAAACCGTTCTCTCAATGAATCTTTGTTTTGAACTTGGATTTCATGTGCATTTCAGTTGTGCGGTTGAGCGTTTCGACAAGTTTATTATATTCTTCTATTAATATGAAAAACCGGACAATTAAATAGTTGTATCTGATCACAAATTTCATCACTAAATACTAAACAATTGTAGTTTCTTTAAGCTTAATTTATCCAATTACATCCTGCTATGGTATAAGGTGAACAACTTTTCAGACCTAACTTTTTCAAGAGCTTTTTGGAGTTGTCTTTCGTGCATACAATATTATGTATCAGCCTCTTAATAAGAACAAGCTGTTTCGTCGACGTAGTTTTGTCACAGATTGAACTTAGGAAAAAGTGAATTGTCATAGTATAACTAACTAACCGAATGTTATCTTATTCACACTGAAACATGACGATCCTGAGTACGTTGGTATGAGAAGTATTGATTTGCATATCAAAAGAGTCTTGGACCGAATCGAAATATTTGTTCAGTAATCGTTGACTAGCTTTAATGAGAAACAGTCTTCAAAAAAAGTATTATAAATCTCCACTTATCACTTGACAAATAAAGTAATATGAATGTGAATTATGGAAAGAAATTACTTTAAACAAAACCAAAAAATTCCCAGTTTAGTTACTGAGAAAATATTTTAATCAAATAGATAGAAGTCAAAAAAAATATTCGGGAAAAAATCTACTGAATTAATTGATTATACAAATGAAACAGTAAAACTAACAAGAGATTCAGAGTTCTAATGAGAGGCCGTTACCAGTGGAGTTCAACCAGGTCTGTTGTGAGATAGGAACTCACTGAAGACAATGGTGTACGGTGGCGCAACTTCGTGGATTGGTTGAAGTTAGACATTAACACCGTTAGATGCCGGCTGACCGGTCTAGTTGGTTAAGCGCCTGGCGCGAGACTGATGGGTCCTGGGTTCGAATCTCGCGGGGGGTGGGGTCGTGGATGCGCACTGCTAAGGGGTCCCATACTAGGACGAAACGACCGTCCAGTGATTCCAGGTTTTCCATGGTGATCTAGTTTCAATTGACTCATGATTTCAACCAGTGAAGATTCAGATAAATTCATAATATTTATTCCACTTCCTTATCGTATGTCCTTTTGCCAGAGAAATAAAGGACATATAGTTTCCTCCTTACTTTTAATTACCGACTTTGTTGTAAGATCAAATATCTAATGATAGATCACCTCAAAATATTTAAATAAATAATAAGAAATTTCTGAGACCAATATATGAATACTAATGGACAGTAGTTACAATCTTGTTACTGATTTCATTATAACCATGAAAACATCAAAGTTTCAGTAAATGAGACAGTTTACTTAGTTATTTTATATTAAATTTACCAGGTGAAATATCTTTGGTTTTTATCTTTTGGAAAACAGTACTAAACAACCAATATTTATGGTAACAATTCACTCAAAATGGAATCTTACATCCTCTAGACAAACATCCCATTTGTTAGCTATAATTTGTTGAAACGGTGGCTAACCAATATGTTGAGGCTAATGTCCTCAATATCTGACTCCAATTAATAATATCCCGTAAACTGAGTATTTAAGGTAGGCTTAATCTCTTAGTAGAATTACGGATTTACTCGAGATTATTGAGAAGCCTGAACACCAGTTATAGAGATAGTTTATTGTTAATGATTAATAAAATCCACAAGCGTAAGGGTGAGCAAGCACACGATGAAACAGTGTGAGTGTGTGTTAAAAATCCATATATATTTTTGAGAGTTAATCGGGTGTGGATAAATTATCGATTATCTGCACATTGCAACCAATAGAAGGACAGCTTAAGGGTTAATGTACAGCATGCATTCGATCATACACACCGAAATTAACATGAGGAATTGAGTCTGAGTTACAATGAATAGACAAATGATACAGTGGCCAAATGGGCTTGCCACAAATTCATAAATAAAGTGATCAATAACATCTGTTTAAATGCCCACCACTCAGTCTCACTCTGATCTTGATTTGATCCGTCTTCAGTTAATTACCAATCAATAAAAATTGTACCCATCAGACTTTACTCTGATACTTACTTACTTACTTACGCCTGTTACTCCCAATGGAGCATAGGCCGCTGACCAGCATTCTCCAACCCACTCTGTCCTGGGCCTTCTTTTCTAGTTCCATCCAATTCTTGTTCATTTTTCTCATGTCTATCTCCAATTCTCGGCGTAATGTGTTCTTTGGTCTTCCTCTTTTCCTTTGACCTTCAGGATTCCATGTGAGGGCTTGTCTTGTGACGCAGTTGGGTGCTTTCCTCAATGTGTGTCCTATCCACTTCCAGCGCTTCTTCCTGATTTCTTCCTCCGCTGGGATCTGGTTTGTTCTCTCCCACAGTTGGTTGTTGCTAATAGTGTCCGGCCAACGGATCCGAAGTATTTTGCGTAGACAACTGTTAATAAACACCTGTATTTTCTGGATGATGGCTTTCGTAGTACTCCAGGTTTCCGCTCCATACAGTAGAACTGTCTTGACATTTGTATTGAAAATCCTGACCTTGGTGTTGGTTGACAGTTGCTTTGAGTTCCAGATGTTCTTCAGTTGTAAATATGCTGCTATTGCTTTGCCGATCCGCGCCTTCACATCTGCATCAGATCCACCCTGTTCATCAATGATGCTGCCCAAATACGTAAAGGTTTTTACATCTTCCAAGTCTTCTCCATCAATTGTGACTGGATTGGTGCATTCTGTGTTGTATCGGAGAATCCTGCTTTTCCCTTTGTGTATATTGAGACCTATTGCTGCTGAGGCTGCTGCCACACTGTTCGTCTTCTCCTGCAACTGTTGTTGCGTTTGGGATAGAAGGGCCAGATCGTCTGCGAAGTCTAGATCATCCAACTGCATCTTAGATGTCCATTGTATCCCGCGCTTCCCTTCAGACGTTGATGTCTTCATGATCCAGTCGATCACCAGGAGAAAGAGAAAGGGTGAGAGTAAGCAACCTTGCCTAACACCGGTCTTCACTTCGAACGACTTTGTCAACTGTCCTCCATGCACAATTCTTTACTCTGATATACAATAATATTTATGTGCATATATGTAACCAATAAATTGATCAGGGTAGATTATGAGTTAATGAACAAAAATGAAATAGATTACATAACTAAACTTAATGAGTAAAATGTACGAATTGACAGTGTGACGGTAAGTGTACTAGTTATGATTAAAACAGTAAAGAATTGAAACAATTTTTCACAATTATATTCACTCCATAGTTTTATACTAATTATAGTAATTTATATTCCAGAAACAGATAATGTATTACTGGTCAATTTTTACCTGATCTGATAGCAGTTGTTAAGCCCGGGCTCTGCGGTTAAACATTATTGTAGAACGTGTTTGAAAAAGATATCTGTATGTAAAGTAAGTCCTACACCATTTTAAACCTTTGAGGAGAAATGGTAAGTCGATTAGAAGCAAAGAAGCGTTTCAGCCAAATCTTATTACTCTACTCATAGCCCACTACAAAGATTTTAATTTAACGAAAAATGGATTATGTGGTGTACAAAGAGGTAAAACTGTACGCAGCTTGTTTAGGCGACGTTGTCCTTAAACTGACAGTTTTCATGGCTTACTACTTAACCAAAGTTTTATATTTGTCATGGTCATATCAAGATTTGTCCTTCTTCAAAGTTTACTGATGATTAAACTTCCACACTGACAAATGCACACTTTATTCATAAGCGTTTATATAAAGAAAAATGAGATACTTTTCAGACTTACCCAATCTGCTCTACAGCAACATTCATCATGAATCTTTTTGATAGTTGAACAGTTTACCCAATGATCTCTTGCATCAAATGAATGAGGTATAACCATATCCACATTTCTATGGGAAATTGTTTGAATTTGTTTTCCACCTGAATCCTTAATTTTAATGTTATTTCTAAACAATTTTTGAGTATCTTTTAAATTTCTGAAACGACTATTAATTCCTGCTTTCCATCCAAAGCCTGGCTAAAAAAAAAGAATTAGAATGATGGATAAGATGATATTCGAGATTTTGGGGCTAGACTATGATTTATGGACGACCTTTGAGGGACGCTAAAGTGGCCTTGAGAATGCCAACCTACTGACTAGGGCTAAATTATGGTTTTAAACCAGTGTGAAGGATAAGGATTGTGATTAACAGTTGATGGTTAAGGTTAGGAATTAAATTTAAGGTTTTCGTCACGAACTAACATCAGCTAAAATGTTAAAACTCTATTTAGCCAAATGGATGAGTGAATTTCGTGCCAAAATCTGAAATCTGTTACCTTATACCTGACTAGTACGTCCATAAATTATAGTCTCGCCGATTATGGTCTTATCTATAAAATGTTTGGTTGTGAACAGTTGTTTAGTAAATGATAATCTCAATGGTTGAGATGGTGAGTCAACTGAAGCTAGCCCACCATGGAAAACCTGGAAGGACTGGATGGCGTTTCGTTCTATTGTGGGGCTCTTCAGCAGTGCGCATCCACGATCTCGCCCCTCGCCACACTGTAGGTCCTGGGTTCGAATCTCGCGGGGGGCGGGCGAGATCATGGATGTGCACTACTGAGCAGTCCTATACTAGGATGAAACGGTTGTTCAGTGCTTCCAGGTTTTCCATGATACCCTAGCTTCAATTGATTCATGAATTCAACTATTAAATTACTATAATATCCACAAAAACCCTTCTCTGAAAATAAAGAATAGTTCACAAATTACCTACATTTTGATTCACATATTCAATCAATTTTTCAAACACCGGTTCAATATGTTCATTCTCCAAAGCATTTACTTCATAGTTATAGACAATGTTCAATAATAGTAAAACTATAAAATAAAACATCATTAAAATGACAGTAAGTGAATGATGTCATAGTATATATATACATATTTGATGATTGTTTCTTTGTGATTTTTGATCGTACTTCAAGTGTAAACCAAGTGTGTGTGTGTATTATCTAGATTTAATTATAAGTTTCAAACAACAACAATAAAAAAAATTTTCAGATCATGATCCGATTTTTAGAACTATGATCTAATGTATAAATTTAATGTTACCTGAGAAAAAAAAGTGGAACATGAATACGTTTTAGTGTCCAAATTAAAGGATAAATATTTAAAAATAATCCTATTCATTTTTCTCATATACACTATTAGGCTTAATGTATGTATCATCAATTAATTTGTCGAAATATATGCTAATAAATCATGTTAAATGATATATGATATGGATCGATGATTTTGATCTGGAGATTTTTAAGATCTGAATTCAAACGTCATTTCATATATTTTCTTTTGCCAATAACGTAGATAAATCACTCAATATTATTCATAGAAGATTATTGTTGTATCCCGATAAGAATAATGAATGGTAGTTTTTGGGATCCATTTATGAACCGATATTATGAGTATATTTTTATCGTATAATTGTTATGTAACTAAGCTGTTCATGTCCCTCTTATTATGAGCTTTATTTTGACCTATGAACTATTATTATACGATTTACCATTCATGAACTATTCCTTGTCTGTTAATCGCAACCTCCCTCGTTTACAGCCACATCTGACTAATTCTTGTACAAATGTTGTTTTATATTTTATTGGTACGTTGTGGTCGGTTTGATTGGTATATAAACTCAGTATGCTTGAAATATAATGATTCATATCTCAGAGGCCGAGACTTGCGTTTTGGACTTAACTGGCTGGGCTAGACAGGAAGCAGGGCCAATCAGAACTTTAAACTGTTCATACGGTTTTACGAGTCATTGATTCGATCGATAAGTCACTGCTCTCTAATCAGCGGTCAAGTTATAGCGATTATATTTTGGATATATTGTAGCAACAGATTAAATAGAGATGAGCGTTTAAGGTACCAAACTTAAAGGAAGTATTTGGAAAATTTTCGATCAATTAGAAGACGGACAAACAAATTAAAATGTATAGTTGACAACTTACTGTCTTAACTAAGCCTTCTACCCTTTATGGGGCATAAGTCTTCGACTAGATAGAGATCTCCAACGAACTAAAACCTGGGATTTCCCTTCCAGTTGTTCCCAAATGCTGTTCATCCTCTTGATGTCTGCTTTTAATTACCGACACCATAACTTGTTCACTCTCTTGTTTGTTTTGGTATATCCAGCTCATGCTTTGAATTTTTCTGCCTTTATTTATCTGTTGTTGACTACTATCTTATTGTTTCCTCTTTCTTGTGTCTTCCCCAAGCTTACTATAGAGATATGTTCTTTATGCTGGTGTTACTCAGGGTCCATGACCTTTTAGTATGTTTTAGTTACCTCTTCCTTAATTCGTTTCCAGTTGTTCTTCTTAGTGATTCTCTCTTCTCTCTGTAAATCTTGTAATACTTGAGACTTGTAACTGAGAGCAGCTATGCTACACTTTCTAAGTCTGTTAGCACCTGGAAGGGATTCTGTGGTAAGCTTTAACAATGCTGATTGCTCAACTTTTCAGTGCTTCTTTAGCTTTAGTTTCGTCTTGGCTACCACCAGTTGGTGATCTGTGTCTAAATCAGCTCTCTTCTTTGTTCTTAGGTTTTCCATAGTCCTTCGGAGTTTTTTTTCTTCATGTATATGTGACCGGTCTGGTTCTTCGTAATATGGCCCGGCGAAATCTGTATAGCTTTATCCACGCATTTTCGAGGCAAATTGTGTCAACTATAACCATGTTATTAAAAGCACACAAATTTATAAGGCTCTCACCATTCTCATTCCCTTCTCCCAGCCCATGTCACTCCATGATGTCTTCATACCATGTGATGTCTTTACCGACCCTTGGATTAAAATCCTTGGTTAAGGTGGTCAGGTATTTTTCGTATTATTCCTCTAAGATGGACCACACCTTCTCATAAAACTAATTTTTATCCTCTTTAGCGCTATTGTTGGTGGGTGAGCAGAACTTAAAGGCACTCTTTGAAATTTTTTCCTCCTTTGTTTTGAAGGATGCTTTGATGCTCTAAAAGCCATAAGATTCCCATCCTTTAAGAGCATGCTGTGCTTCTTTGAACCTTACCGGTGCGATTCTCTGCGTAGGTGTGGTTTTTTTTTGCTTTTCAACCACAACACGAGATCATCTTCCTTAAAATTAATCCCTCATGCTCAGATTGTTTCCAATCGGTTTTACTTATTCTAAATAGATTCAGGTTGTAGCTTCTCATTTTAGCGGCTATTTTAGTGATTCTCCTTGTCATCAAAATTGTTCGGGTATCCCATTTTCATATTTCTACTGTTACCTTAATTGCCAAATGATTCTTAAGCCTCATGATATCCAGAGACTCTTGGCTCTCAGCATGTAGCGTCACAATTCCTCTACATCGAAACCCGTCAACCGCCAGAACAAAGTGTTACTGGTTTTCCATGATTAGCGATCTGGTAGAGTGGCTAATTTTTACGAGGTGGAGTTGTTAAACCTCCTTCTTTATATGGGCTTACGAACGACAGTAGATCCAGAGAGGCTTTACGTGAAGTCAAAACTAACAAGAATAGAATAAAACGTTTAAAGTTAAATGAAATGAGGCGACTACAAATTCTAAAGAATTAAGAACAGAAATTATGTTGATTTCGAAGTATTTCTACCATTAATTTCTTATATTTGTAGGACTGATTAGTAACTCTATTCAGTTGTTTCCATCGGCTTATCCATTTCACTTGTTAGCACAACTAAATAAAGTAAAAATTTCATTCACTTATTTACTAACGATTAAAAGTTTTATCTACGTTAATGACTTAACTATATTCAGTTTAGGAAATTTTCTGCATTAAAGTATTCAAGGTTAGATTCTAAATACAGATAAAAGATTAATTATGAACGGAAAACACTGGATATTTTGCTGAAGTGAATTAGGACTTTCAATGGTTAAGATCATGAGTCAGTTGAAGCTAGACCATCAATTAAACTGTTGAAAACTACCAAAGTATAAGTATATTTAATTGATTTCTCTCTCTAGAATTTATGGTAAACTAAAGAAGAGCATTTGTCTGTCTTTAATTCTTAAGTTCACTATAGAAGACATTTTATTAAAGCGATCAATAATTAATTGAGGGAATGGATTAGAATCACCACATTATTCTCTATAGATTGTAGAATGTTTCGATGGTTTTTATTTTCAATGTGATGAAATCTCACTTATCTCTTCGTGTAATTATGCTGGTTGGTGGCCTATGCTCCATTGGGGGGGGGTAACAGGTGTAAGTAAGTAAGTAAGTAAATCTTCATGTAATTGAAGATAAATAAATCAGAGAAAATAACTTTGTTATAATACTAAGAACAACCTATTTATATATGTAGACAAAGCAATTTTATTTCGCTGATCAATACATATCGATAAATAAATAGGAACGTGAATCTGATTATTAAGCTGTTGCGACACACATTCTACCAAACCAGCCAAGTTACTTAAAAATGTAGAATCAATGTCATAAATATACAGTACTAAATAGTATGTTTAAAAGTATTCCTAGTAATATATCGAACACGAATAGCTGCATTCCTATAGCTTTAAACCACTATTAGTAATCAACTCGTTTTGACAAACATGGCCTACTTTTGTTTTGTTTTTCGTCTTTATAATTTCGACTATGACCTAACAATCTACATTGTTGAAAATACTATTCCTTTTGGAAGTGAAAAACCAAGATCATTCGTGTCCATTTACTGAATAATAGATAATAATCAGAGGGGCTTTGTGGAGATTGTAGTAATTTGATAATTGAATTCATGAGTCAATTGAAGCTAGACCACCATGAAAAACCTGGAAGCACTGAAAAGCCGTTTCATCCTAGTATGAGACTCCTCAGCAGTGCACATCCACGATCCCACGTCGCGAGATTCAAACCCAGGACCTATCAGTGCTTCCAGGTTTTCCATGGTGGTCTACCTTCAATTGACTCATGAATTCAATTATTAAATAGATAATACGTTTTGATGCACTAAACACTGAACTGAATTATATAAATGATCATGTGATCGATATACTAAATAATTAGATCATTATGCTGAATTGTGTGATATACAGATACAAGTTATCCAATCGACAATGGAGAACCAGACTGTAGGGACAGAATAATCATGTATTAACACAATATAAAATCCAGTCTTTAATGGTGGTTTGTATACTAACCTGTGTGTCTTCACGCACAGATTACACAATTCTAGAGCACATAACTTATGGGTCAATATGTTTAACTTCGCTTTTGTAAACTGTACATCCAATATTTTATTTACTGATTCGTTCACAACCCTCATGATTCAAATAAAAACCACCTATCTAATCGCCAAAAATAATGTTTAAATTTAGGATAAATGTTAGACTACTTATAATCATAAAGTAGTATGCTGTTGTTGCCGTTTTTCATCCTTTTTCCTTGAGTTGGCTTTTATTTTCTAATTCAACATTAGTAGACAATTTACAAAAAAATAATGTCCCAAAGATTGCCATTCGTGAACCTGCTGCGTAAGACTGTAATTTATGAACTCATACTTGAAGAAATACTTATAACAAAGTAGTGTCCAATTTCAAAACACTGAATCATGTTCCGGCTCTTAGAAAATATCCGTGACATAATACTTTCACACTTATTGGTTACTCTTTTGTAATGAAAAAAACAAACTTAAAACAGCAGAAGTTTTCTTCATTTCAGTTATAATAAGGGTAAGTTCACAATGTAAAATTTATTGACAATATTTGGTTGACACCACACCCTAAAAATATTTTAAAATTGGTCACTGTCCATTAGCAGATTAATTCGAAGTAATAATTTAGATAGGAATTAAGTTACTAGGGTGTTTTTGATAAATAAACTGGAAAAAAATAAACGCACACACAAAAAATATGTCCAGATAGTTAAGAACATGGTATGCT